TAAAAATTAATTTTTTGGCTTAAAGTTTTATTTATGTAAGTTGTGTATATCAATTTTTATATTGATCTAATATTTATAATTATTTTATTAAAAAACTTTATTTATTGACATATATTTAACGATATTAAATTTTTTATAATCAATAAAGTATTTAACCATATTAAAACAATTTGAAAATTAACATGTATAATTAGTATAAATAGAACTTTTAATTCAATAACTGATTTTTTTTTTAAATATTAATGAAAAAAAATTAATTTTTAGACATATTCTCTAAAAATTTTAAGATAATAATTTACAAAGGGCAATGCTATAAGGATGATCTTTTTATATTATTTTTTTATATAACTTTCACATATCATTAAATGAGTAAACTTATTTAATATTATGAGTCTCACATAAATAAAAAAAATCAATTATTTAAATGATACATCAAGTTATACCAAAAAATAATATAAAAAAATTATCCCAAAATCATTTCTCATTTAGAAAACACTTTTTTCTTATATAAATTTATCCAAATATCTAAATTATCCAAATCAAAATTTAAAAATTTCAAGTTAAAATTTTAAGCATTTAGATAATATCCAAAGTTTACCTACTCCCAGACAAGAGTAAGAAGTATGAACACTAACTACTCGCCATTAGAGGGAAAAAAAGAAAAAAGAAAACGTCAACTACTTAATTAAAGTTAATAAATGCAAATTGTACTAAAAATGTGATGCAATAAGGTTGCATGTACTTTTGTATAAAAAAAAAAAAAGGACGGTTACATGTACTTTAAAAAAAATCTCTTCTCAAATCTAGTAAACGGTGGCACGATTTTTTTATTTGATAATTATAAATTATATTGTAGATGTACCTTCAAGGGTTGGATTTTAAATTTTTTATCTTCAAAGTTATAACTTATTCAAAAAAATATTTTAATAAAGAGTGAATTATTTATATTTAAATTATAAAATTTATGAAAAATTATTTTTTATTTTTATTTTTTGAATGGATTTACGATTAAAAGTAAGAGAATTCAAACCTCAACTCTTAGATTAGAGGAATGTATTTTATAAATTCACTTATAACCGTTGAGTCACGAGACTCCAAGTGCAAGAAATTATATTTTAATTTATTTATTTAAATAATTAAATTTTGATTAATAAAATAAATAAAAAACTTTTTTACACATGCTTTGCTGACCAGTGACCAATACGTCCCTACTTTGCTCCAATTGAAATGTTTCTTCCATAATAAAAAATTAAACTTAATCACTTCCAATTTCTTGTTTTTCACCTGATTTTCGTTCCGCCAGTCAAACAAGCCATCCAGGTTTAATTATCTAGTCTTTTGCCATCTTTGTTTCCTGTAGAAAACTGCGCTTGGAACACTATTTTTATAATTGACTGAAATTAATGGCCACATATTATGATAATAATAGAATGCATCAGCTGTTTTTGAATAAAGAGACTAACTCGAATCAAATTTAAAAACTTTAGGATTAAATTAAGAATTTTTTTAATTTAAGGATCAGTTCAGTGATCTATACAATAGTTGAAGGATCAAATTGAAAATTTAAACTTTCTCTTACACCCCATCGCATTATGCCTCAAAAAAATATTCAAACTGTAGAACTACCAGCATAAATAATTTTTTTACTTTAATTTTATTATTATATAACTTTAATTATCAATCTTATTGCTAAAATTTCTTTAATTTTTAAGGATAATATAAATAAGAATATAAATTATTTAAAAAAATTTTGTGGGTGAAAAAAGTGAAAAAAAAGTATATTGGTTATTTAGGGACAGGAAAAATAGCACATCTAATGGTACATCTAATGGAAACATGGTTTTGGACAGGAACATGCCCTAAAAAGAACATTCTTTGCCGCAGAAAATTAAGATAAAAATCATGAAAACATGTACCCTTCCATCAGATGGACCACAACTAGTCTGCTGGCAGGACACTCGAATGAATTCAATTTCCATCTTCTGATTGTATCGTTTCTTTTTGACAGACACTCCCAATAGACTAGAACTTTGGGGTCCATGTGTTCAACTTTGTGGAATGGGTTTTGCGGGAAAGAAATTGCACCACTAAGGCATTTATTGCTAAAAGAGAAAGCAAAACATTCCTTCAGTAGTTAAAGAGTTGTTTGACTTATGTTAAAAATAAGAATTTGAATCCTTCTCATGCCTTTTTGGTACAAACAGTGTTAATAGACTATATTTATTATCCTTAAATGTGAAGACTTATGCAATACTTACAAACAAAATTGTTTGCAAGTTTCTATAAAATGAAATCAAACTAAAAGTCTAAATACACATGTTATTAAAAAAAAGAAAAAAAGAAAAAATGTTTCTCTTAGGGATTGTCATTGGCAAATACAGATGGTTAAGGCCTCAGCCTTATGTTGTTTAACCACTTTACCTGATCATTGTTGGACTCAATGAAAATATTGTTAATAAAGTATCTGTTAAACATAATGTTTTCTTAGGGATTGGGTTCGTCAAATTAATTGTGGGAGCATAAAAAAACAAAGGAGAACCAAAGGTAGGATAAAAAAGAAAGAGGGACCAGTCTTTATGCATAAAGTATCTGTTAATCCAAAGCCAGAAAAAGTAAAGAAATGCAATCCAAAAAACACCAAAAATGATTTGAACACAGTGAGATACTAAACAACTGCCCATTATCTCCCAGCCTGTTTCAGGCCTTGAAACTCTCTGATGAAAGCCGACAATTGGACATAATTCCAAGCATCCCATGTGGGATTTTTCCTGTTTTTTCTTGCCTTCAGCAACTCCCCTGTGTGT